TGGGGAGAGGGGGGGGGGGGGGCGACCGCCCCCCCCCCTGTATCCGCCCCTGAGCCGAAGGGATCGAAGGTTCAATTAGGGCACTACGTCGCTTGGCACCAGCAGATATTCTCTCAGCGACGAGATGCACACGACTCGACGGGACACAGGAACTGCTATGTACCAGGTCTGGCACAGTATCACGTAAGTGAAGTGCAGGATGAGATCGGACCGTAGCGTTCGCGTTTGCCACGTATCGAATTTTCCCGACTCGGATGGGAGTCTCTCTGTTTCCATAATACCATGATTATTGCGACGATTATTGCATATCGATACAATTGTTGTTTTTTTTTTTATATCGCACATAACGGTCTGACGGTAGATACTCGACTGCATATATGACTCTAGGCCAGTGTTTCCCAAACGGTGTGCCGCCAGTAGGGCTTAAGTGTGCCGTGAGATTTGAAAGTTGACAAAAAAAAACGAAAAAACTTAAAAACAAGAGGGAACGTCATCTCTCAGTGGAAAACGAGCTGAGAGCTGCACAATCACGCCTCGTATCAAACTGCTGTGTTCAGCGAAGCAAGCACAAGTTTCCCATTGAAAGTAAGTAAATGGCTGGGTATGCCGTGGAAAGTTCAAGTGTCCTTACGAGCGCTGCAACTAAAAAAAGATTGGGAACCGCTGCTTTAGACGTTCATTAAAATGTTCATTTTAATGACACCTAATGGATTTCGGCCATTTAACCATCCCTCCACCATCCGGGGAATTCGGTTGCCGACCACTGCATTACGGCGTTACGGACTGACACTCGTAAGGGTACGAGAGAGCAAGAGGAAAATCAAATCACCCACAGTTGGAAATGAGGCTAGATCAACGATCGGCGGGAGAAAAACTCCCTCTTATCTCGTGTTGTTCTTGAAGTTGACATTAGCAGTCGCAATAGTCATGGTAAGGGAGAGAGATGTCCGAGTCAGGAAAATTCGATACGTGGCAAATGCGAACGAGATCTTTTTTGCCTACGCACTCGGCACGGAAGAAAAAATACCTCGTCCCTGAACTTACAGACGTCAGTCGCTTGGAGATGTCTTCTCGGTTCCGCTATCTTTTCACAAACAGTCGTCATTTACCTTCTTTTAATCCGTTACTACCTCCCATCCCAAACACTCTGTCTCTCATCTTCCCGTTCTTTCTCTCCGCATTATTTTATTCCTCCTCGCTTTCTTTCTCTCAGTTATTCATTTTTTTCTCCCTGCCTTGCCTTCCCGATAACCTGGTTACCGAACTTTTTTCACCCCTAGTATCAACATATCGATATAATTACTAAATTTGACTGGGGCATGACCATGATCAGATCAAACACCAGCAAGAGCTTTCTAAAGCATTTGATTTAAACACGGCACGAAAAAGGATGGGAGACAGACCAGGTAGGAGAGAGAACTGTCGAGGGTTGAGGATAGCAGGGCAGAGGAGGCGGAGGAAGATGAAGCCCGAGATGACTCTCGTCCGCACTAAGCGTTCTTCGGGCCATTTGGCCATCACACTACGCTGCAGGCATCCGCAGATATATCGCACAGTCCTAAAGAGATGAGGTGAAAGACAGATACTTCAATACAGACATATTACAAGACTGGAACCTTAAATCAGACCGAAACTATTGGTTGGGATTCACAATGTAAACAAAATGCTGTATTAGCAAAACACCTTCAGGCATATCTGAGATTTACATCTGACAACCTAATATTCTGTTCAAAGGTGGAATTTTGCGTTTCATAGTGCTGAAAAGTAGTACCTAAGCAATTAAGAGCTGAAATGTTAGCTTTTTCTGAAAATTCTGAAACCATCACTTCAGGGGGCTATCGATGCCACAATAGGCGAAACAGAACTTAGTTTCTGATCTTTTGGAGAAAAAAAAGTTTCCAAAGAAAAGCCAAACCTGGGACAGGCATCAGAGGACATGAAAATAGCATCGGTGAGCTCGTCGAGGATCTCGAGGAGGAACTCGGCATTGGAGCAAGCATCGTTTGGGTTATCCATCTTCGAGGGATTCAGCTCGCACGACTGGCGAGACTCGACGAGCCGATGGATGATGCTGGATAGGGCTGCGTCGAGGAAGCCAAAGCAGACGGCCTTCATGTAGAGATCCATGAGGGTCGTGGTGAGCGTGGCCGAACGGAACAGCGTCGACGTCTCGTCCTCGCGTCCTATCTCGAACTCGCACATCCCTTGCAGCAGTCTCGCTTCCTGCCGCTGGTGCCTGCAGTCATACCGTCATCGCAATTCCTCTCATTCCTGATCCATAGCTTCTCACTCCTTCCATGTCTATCGATATCGATGCTGGCTGCCGATGGTACCACGTAGAGCTCAATTCTAATTCCTTCTATGGATTTGCATGGAAATTTCTCCTTCGATCCTAACAATGTAAAGGCTATTTTTGGAACGCCCGGTCGATTAAAGATCCAGATGCAGGACTATCTAGACGAGTCTTTCTTTTCATTCTCACTCGATCGATTTGTCATTAGGTTTCTCCAGGAGTATGCCATAGCCACCATGGAAGCAGTCTATAGAAGCATGCAGAGAGTAATGTCTGACCTGAAAACCCTGAGAAGTGCAGCAGCGAGAGGAGTTCTATCGGCATGACACCGGTCGGCGAGGGCTTTCACGGCGGTGAGCTCTGAGTCGAGGAGAATGTCCAGGAGGGTTGAGTATTCTTCTTTGGGCATGAGGAGGTCATCCAGGTAGCGAATGCGCAGACGCATGGACCCCCAATCTCCTACTGGGGTCACTCCTAACAGAGGGTACCATGTCTCTGTCTGGAAGACCAAATTGCAGTTAAATAGAGTCCCTCAAAAATGATGGGGAAAATTCTGACCACGTATATACATCAGCAGAAAGGCAAAACGAGGGTGTCATAAAAGTTCCAAGGATATTTGCAACGGCTTCTGTTGGGAATGAGAGGATGGAATACAGCCTCTGGCAGTAGTCACTACAGGATACTTGGTCTCCCTCTTCATGGATGAAAGGTCTATTATAGACTTTCACATTGTATCCTTTTTTTTCTTTTTTTTTTCCTCTTAAGAGTATTCTTCCCACTGGTGGAATTAAGGCTTTTCATCCCATGCAGTATTTTACGCATAACAGATACTATAAATAGATAAAGAAACCGATACAAAAACCACAATCTTCATCCATTTCCAAGAATATGCAATAGGAAATTATGCTTGTTCCCATTTTCCAGCTTTGAATTTGCTCAACTGGTATCATTCTAAACTTTGCCAATTGGTAAAATTGGATTGTTTTCCTTGAAATATCCCTCATCTTTCCATGGAATGATGCCTCAGAATGTTCACCACTAAAAAGCCTTATCCTGACTAACAGGAATTTAAGGATAACTTAAGATTCACCTCCTCTCCATTGGCAAGGTTTTGAAGTTCAAGCGTGAGTTCAGCCACCTGGGCATCCTTGGAGCGTTTTGTCTTGTTCCAAACCTGGATTGAAACTGTCAACACATCTGGTGGGATGTCACTGAAAGCAGAGGAAGACATACAAGTACATGAACTCATTGAAAGAGAGGAAAATAAGCATCTTCCCCATGTTCACTGTATCTTTATCATGGAGAATCCAGTAACCAATGCAATAAGGCCTGCAATTTTTGGTTAATATTATGAAAATGCATGCACTTCATATGGAAATGTTTGACTGATATTCCTAATGTATGTCCTTTGGTGAATGAGAACGGAAGAAAGGAGTATGGGGGAAGCACAAGCAGAGGCAATATTCAGATATTACAGAAGCAAAATTTTCCATTTCTTATCAAGTCTCCACTCTTCCAACAATGACCATTACCACATGTCTGATCCATTAAATTCTTTCATAAGCAAAATTGAAATTCCTCATCCTTCTTACAGCTTTGGGAAGCAAAATCATAACCAAATAGGGATTAAAGCTATTAATAGCACAAGGAAAGTGTCACAGGAGCTATCAAACCTGAGAAAAAGGGTTTAAACATAAGCATCAGCTTGATCCCCCTACCTCTTCATCAATTGACACCACATGCCTGACCTCTGTGTCTCCCCCCCCCCGTCCCATTTAGGGTTGTCAAGTGTTGTTCAAGCCACACCTGCTGGAGTATCTTTCACAAGCTAAAGTTGTGATGCCAAGAATGGTGGTATTCTGGTATTCTTTACTAACTGATTAGGAGGAAGGGATGAAACCGGGAGTCTCCTGGTCGAAATATGACAGTTAGCAACCCTACTACTCCTACATACACAGTGCATGCATGTTTCCAAGGTAATGCTCAACCTGATAGCAAGCATCCTCTGAATTTACCACACAAAAAGGACAACAGAGAGGGGGGGAAGAAAGGGGAGAAGTGGTATTTCATCCTTTCTTTTTTTTTTCATTTCTTTTGGGGGAGGGTGAAAAGGACTTGGTGAAGAAAAATGAAGCAACCATTGATATGCTTTTAACCAAGAGAAAAACATCTTCAAAGTAATGGTGGTTCTCACAAAATATGGTTTTGTTAATTAAAGACAAACAATCTACACCCAATAACCTGATTCCATGCAAAACAAGATGAATATCTGAACATTTTAAAATAATCCTTGTGCCAAGGACATGCTATCAAAAGCCTTAGAGAAAGAAAAAGACAGCAGGGAACCACTGACTCAAGGAGGAATTCCTCATCCCAGACAGGATCTGTGCTCATCTGCACCTTGGTCCGACATGTCTTCACCTGGTTCAAGCAGACAATGCAATATGGACTGGGCACCAGCTTTGCTGGAAGCCTGAAGAAAGACAGCCTTCATCAATGAAAGATGCAGAAACACAAAAAAAAAGGTATCAGGGGATGGCAGACCTATGGGCTTCCATGATGGAAATCTGGAGACATCGGAGCTCCTTGAGTCGCTCAATCTTCGGCGCACGAGCGTTCTGTGCCACACAGTGTGGCCTGATCGCTGCCATCCAGTCCTGGATGAGATACCCACAATTAACTGACTTGTACATGGGACACTGATCCACAGATCTTATGTCACAATATCATGATTCATCAAAGAAAGATAACAAATTTTCTTGGTCTTTTCTCAATTCATTTTACTTTTCCCATTTTCACTCTCTACAGTCTTGCATATTTTCACTCCATTATATATATGTACTTGGATGAATGGAGTCAACATCCAGTAGATGGAAATATGGTCAAGCTATCCACATGAAGCATCTGCCAACTATTCTGAAGAGAGCTTATTCTGTGTTCAGCGGAGCTAACTGGCTTGTTCCACATCAACTTAGACCATACCACATAACTAATTTCTACTCAAGAAACTTGCCACATTCAATCCTTCGATTACCCTTTCCCTGGCATCGATGTAATATCATATCAATGTTCCCAAAAGGTTGGTATACCCCAGACAGGAAAAGGTATAAATAACCTTTGACATGAAAATGTATATGACTCTACATGCATTTGCCAATGATATCCATCCTCCACTTCACACTACTCCCAGCTGAATCCATCCAGGAGACTTATCAATGCATAGTGCAAACCCAAGAAATCATGTGCTGTGCCAGTAGTTAAGACACATTATTGGATGAGGACACAGAGGTATTTTTACTTCTTAAACTGGTTCAGGAAATATGGAAATTAGGACCCTAGATGTAACACTGCTTCTAAGTAAATGTCTCAGCACAGTTCTCATTTTTGCTTCTGATTAAGCTAGTAAGGAAATTAATTGGAGAGGGGGTTGGTTGATGTGTAGGAATTGATCCATGGAGGGAGTCTAGTCAGTTTAGGAAACTTCTTTTCTAGATTTCTGAGAAAGCACTTCATCTAAAACATTGACTTGTTTTTCGCTGACTCAACCAATAAAACTGCAAGCATTCTTCTGACACTTATATATTTTACTATTTATTGATGTTAAGCACATTTTCCTTCTGTACTCTTAAAGCAGACATTTCTTTCTACTGAAGAAGTTGCTTCCATTCAACAGCATATAACTTCCTGCTCCTACATCATTGAATCATCATACCCAAGCTGATAAGCTGAGATTTGACTCAACAATCAGTCCTTACAGAATTCTCGAAATAATTCAAGCATCATCCTTCAAGAGCAGGGCTGTCACATCAGAATGAAAACTGTAAACAGAGGATGGGGAAATGAAGAATGACCTGGACATCCTCAGTAGAAGAGCAAGAGAGGTAGGTGGTGGTGGCGAGGCAGGGGAGGGCTCTCTCCACCAACTGAAAGCAGTTGGGCCGCTCCAACAGACTCTCATGCATCATGTACAGATATGTGCAACTGAGGTCGATCAACCCCTTCGGCTTCAACCTCTGAAAAACCAGCATACCGATCAGCATCCCTCCTCGGTCAGGCACCTCAGTAAACACATTGCAACCTACTGCCCATGAATGATTGGGCACTTTTGCCATGAACAATGTAATCAATTATATCAGCGACACATGAGATGTTATTTCCTTGGAATAGAAACACTATAAATAAAATTGCTACATCTTTCTCGCCATTCAATAAGTAACAGACAGTACAAAGTTATGTGAAGAGCAGAGAATTTAAAAAAGTATTATCTTGCCTGACCTTGGGATTGTCATAGAAGTAAAGGGTGGTATCACTTCCCTCAGTCATGAGGACAAAGTAGAAACACTTCCATTTCTTGATCTTATCACTCCTCTTCTCCAGCCAACCCTGCATCTTCACACCTGAAAATTAAGGAATCACATATTTTGTAGGTAAGGCTGACTATACCTCAATTGATGGAGTTGTCAAATTTTTACTCATTTTGCATTTGCTAGCTTATTTTTTCATTTTGCATATTTCCAAACAATTTAGGGCAAAGTAAGCAGCGAGAATATCCATATCCAACTATGAGTATGATACATATCCAACTATGAATTGGGAGCTGGTGAAGGGACTGCTAGAATCACACATGCAATCTGATACTTTGGTGCACTAGTGTCATTGTATTGCATAAAAATCTTCATAAATAGGCCAAGTAATGTGATGAACTCACCCTGATTCTTCTTGAGCCCACTCTGTTCCCGACACTCACGAAGGGTTGCATAAATCTTCTCTGCATGCTCCACCTCCTTCCTTGATGCATACTCCTCTGCATCTGACCGAGCCTACAAATTCAACACTCACACTAAATTGTGTGCATCGAAGATGAAAATAAAGTATCACTATTTAGTCCAGACTTAGTACGAGGGGGGTTCAAAAAGTTTTGCAAATCATCATGCTGTTTGTAAAGAAGAATGTTATCAATTGAAACATCACCATAATAGGAAATAGGCTCTGTTGTGCAGATAAGGCCCTAGAAGAACCTCTCATAATCATTCAAAAGTAAACTAATAAAGTACTCGGATCCAGGACCTTGTTCAATCAGTGAATTCAGCCCTAAAATCTATCCCTGCGTGTGAGTATTGTGGGGCTCTCCAGAATTTGCTAGTGAGGCTACAGCAATGTATAGATGCCGGGGGGGAATACTTTGAAGGATTAAATATATAATTGTCTTAATTAATAGTCCATTGAAATTTACAAGTTGAGTTGCAGAACTTTTTAAACCCCCTCATATTAGTCCTGAGACCACAGTCTACTGGGATTTTTAATTCCCATAGAAACACATAGTAGGCTAATTATTATTATTTGCTTCAGACTTATAGAAGGAATCTGAAGGAAAGGTTTCTCCCCGTAAAAGCATTTCTAAATCCATAGCTACACAGTTTAAATATACTGAATTTTTCAAGAGTCCAAATTTTCAAAGAAATGACTTGTGCTTAGAAAAGCCATCTTTTCATCTCAAGCACTCTTCAACAAAATAATGCAAGGTGAGACCTTGACAACAGGCTGGCCGAGCGTATGACCCTCGACAATGTACTCCTTGCGGTAGCGGTTGATGACGGCATCCAGGCAGTCAAAGGTGCGTCCACCGACCACATAACGAACCCCCTTCTTCTCTATGCGGAACCGTTGGATCTGGTTGTTCACATGGAAGAAGAGGGAGTAATCCCCCGGGGAGTTGTCACTAGGACGCACCAAAAAGCTCTCTGGTCCACCTAAAAAAATGGTACAAAGCTGAAAACAATTTTCCAACACATAATGAACTTGAGACAACCTACTTCAATGTATTCCTATTTGTCAGTCTGGCTCAAATACCATGGAAAATGGAAGAAAAACAAAGTAATCTAGAGTAGCTCCATTCTACAAGAAACAGATAAGGACGCTCCCCGCTCCTTTCTCCCTATGCATAGCCTGCAGTGGACTGACCCCTGACGAGCATGTCGACAGCCTCATCCTTGGTTATGCCAGGATGGAACCATGGGAAGACAGAGTTGGGGTCGATGGAATCGTCCAGCGTCTCGACCAGTTCCTCGAAGACGATCCCCTGTTCCCCCGTTCGATGGGCTGTCACCCACAGCCACCCTTCATTCAGCTCATTGTGCACAAAAAAGATGTCTCCTTTCTGGAAGCTGCAAGGGAAAACTGATAATAGCATTCAAGACCTTACTAATTCAAATTTCCCAATTTTATCAAGATCATGCTGTACACTCTGAAATGAACCCACAATGTGCATTGGAATTTCTCCATCAATGGGGAATTAGTAACTCACATAAATTAGCATTATTTGCTTAGAGGCAATCAAGGTAGTTCAAAGTGGACCACAACTCATTGTGCACAAGATTAGCAACTTGTAAGAATACCTCTTGTATTCCTGCATGATATACAAAGGCTGCTCCTGCCATTCAATGTTCTCAGTGAAGTTATGTGAGTGGACTGGTGTCATAAATCAAAGACAGTTTTAGAATCTGCTACTGTCTCTGGGACATCCTGGGTTCTGAAATCACTAATCACTTAGATTTTGTTGACTGCTAAATAATATTTCTGAACTTCATGCAAGAATCAAATGCTATTACAATCTAGCATTAATGTTAAAAAATATTCTCAGGGGATTGAATTGATCACTAGGAGTAGTGTTCTACTTTGAACAAGAGCTACTTTAAGCACCTTAATCAATTCCAATACTCTGGACCTGGGCATGCTCAGTTCCCCACTGATATGCACATTCCGGGATATGGCACATTTTGGCCAATCATCTAATTAGGGTCAATTTAGGTCAAGTAATTTTAGGCCTAACATTTCAAGAGCTATCAAAAAACATTTAATCAGAATTAATCAATCAGTTAAATGGACAAGCAAGACGAGATAATATAAGTGCAAAAAATCATTACCCATTCTTCTGAAACATTTATCCTAGTTCCTATGACTCAAGACAAAGTCTTGCAATGATTCATCATACGTGAGTTCGTCAGTGTCAGGCATTTTGGTGTAGGGCAAGATGGCAATGACACGCTTGCTATCGTTGACGGGCTCAGGCGGGGGAACTGGATTCACCAGTCGTTCATGCTTCAGCAGGTCCGACAAATGGGTGTAGTGAGCAATCAAGTCAGACAGGGAATCAAAACGACGTCCACCAATGTAGAAGTCTCCACAAACAGCTGTTATCCTGTTCAGATTTGGCATTGCAAGAGTGGAACATTTTCATAACCAAGTAAAAAAATAAAGGAATGTTAGAGTTGACAGAAAAACCAAAAAAAAACCCTTCCAAATTGGTTCCAAAAACATGAAGGTATTGAAATTACCATAAAAATGCCTTAAAAACATATCCACAATGGTAATGTTTTCCAATATAATTTTTTGCCAGTTTATAAGTTACACATATACGTCTACCTTATAACCTCATGTAATGTGACAGTCACACCATGACAATATATAGCAATCAAAGGAGAAATTCACTCCAATCAATATAACATGAATCTCATATTTGATTGCAAGACAACTGATGAATGTCTTAAAAGCCAGCAAATATAGGAATTATTTCCCCACAGGAAATATGGGGCTAGCATACCGGAAATGGTTGATGCCAGTCTTGCCAAAGAAAGAGAGGACATAAGAACCCGGTTTGCGGTCACTTTCCCGCACGAGGTAGCTCCTAGGCTTGTTCATTTGCTTCAGTCTCTCCTCAGCACCTTGGCGATCCAACCGTCCGTGATACCACCTGGAATGGAGAGGAATGATTTTTTAATTCTCTCTCTGCTTGTGATTATTTGCCTCCCCTGGAAGAATACAATGGATCCTATCTTTCACTTTACCCTGCTGCTATGGATTGTGACATGAGACTATTACCAAGTCTATACACATTCAGATGCCATAGATCAAAGTAAAAAGCAAAAACCTTAAACAGAAGGAATATAGAATTTTTCATACATAAAAAGTGCATTAAGAATGAACCTGGTACTTTCAGGAATCAACTTTTACCTTCACACAGGTTGACTCTAGCATGAAATGACAGATCTAACCAATATTGGCATTCTTTTCCCAAACAAAAATGGACACAGACTCATTCTCTGGTGGTGCAGAAACAGCAACTGTGAGGGTATCTTCATCCTCTTCCCCAAATGTAGGTTCCCCATCATCATTGAAGAAGCCTTCGTGGAACTCATCACTGCCTGTGCTTGGGGAGCCATGCTGCTGGAACTGCTCTTTCACCCTCGCTCTGCTGCACTCAGCCATTCTAATATGTACACTTTAATGTTGATTACCACTGTGAAGCCCAATACTGTATATGTTCATCGCCCTGGAGAAAGTGGTAGGAAAATTAATAGAGTTAATCAGATATAGACATGGGTAGCTAAGAACACCAAAAAACCTCAAAATTTATAAGTAACATAAACCTACTCCATTCCCTTATAATTGCCTTAGAGCAGTAGCTCAATACCATTCAAA